TTATTATTGATAATGATTTCCAGTGAAAATAATCCGTGAGTTTTTTTTGTTTCTTTCTTTTTCAGGGTATTTTCCGGCCTCTGAGTAATTATTACGCATTACCTTTCGATATGAAAGGGGAAAAGTATAGGTCAGTGGAACATTATGCTTACCAAAGGCTTTTTGACGCTCTTCGTCTCGACGACAAATGTATTGGTGAGTCAAGAACTATTTCGAGACAGTGCGATTTTAAATAATCAGTATTTTGTCATATTCGGTTTAAATTTTGATTGCAGAAACTTTTACGTTTCGTCGTATAAAAATTTCCTTAATATTTCTTTTTACTGCAGAAAAGATTCGAACCACTGTAGATCCAGCAAATGTTGCACTCGTTGCCAGAAGAGTTTTCAAACAGCAAAAGGTATTTTTATGTTATGCTACAATTACATCAGCAGCTGTTGAGTGGAGTTTTGTCTTTCCTTTTTTGTTTGTTCAGCTTTATGTTTTTTTAGCAAAGAGAAGAGCTTAAGAGTTGAAACCTTTTTAACGACTTATATATAGTGCTGCTGGCTACGCAGTTGTATCACTAAGGCAATTCATACTACCTGGTCGTATAGCCTTAAAAGTACTGCTAATTTTACATCTCTGGCATTTGCGCCAATGGTTTTTGAATGTTGTTTCACTGCAACATTTTGTAGCTCAGTGACGGAGCAGTGGATTCAAAGATGGGTCGTCTAGATCGATGGCGTCAATCTGCTATGAAGCATAAGGTTTCTTCATCTCTGAAATTTTTATGATGTAGCGCAATTTCATCAGTTTAGTTCAAGTAGTTTTTTTTTCTTTTCACAGATGACGAAGAATGAGGCTTTACAACAGTTACTGCTTTCTACTGGGCATGCACTGTTGATTGATACTACGGAAATTGACAAAGCATGGGCGTCTACAGCAGACGAATTCGAACTGCAGCATTTGTTAACGAAACGGTACATTCTTCCAGGCACAATCATCGATTGGATGACCGAACGAACAAAACCTCCATCAGCTCTTTCTCATATTAGAGTTTGTTTCATCGTTAGCAGTATTACACAGTATTATTTTTTTTATATAAATTACTAACTGGACGATAGCTAACACTGACCTGTGAGAAGTGTAATGTTAGTGACTACGTCAATGAAATTTTTTTTTCAAGTCATAAGCTCATCCTGTCTGCTTATTTTCATTTGCCATTTTGAATTTTATCTCATTATTTTATGTCTAAAACTGTTGATGACTAAGGAAGGGGAAGTCAAATATCGCGATGAAGGAGAAATTAACTTATTCTGATTTCAGGGAAATAAGACAGGACTTTTACTGATGGAGCTGCGTTCTAAATTTGCTGCGTTATCGCCTACACAAAATCGCATTCCACTGGTGTCGCCTTTAGCAACAGCATTGGAATTACGAACCTTATTGTCAGCCCACATGATTTGTTTCACTGCGGAAAGTGTTTTTCATTTTTTATATCCAGCACAAATTCGTTTGCCGAATTCAACAGAAACGTTGCCTTCACCAGCTCATTACATAGCTAAGCAAGCTATAAGGTAAGGAGGCAATATCTTTTTTACTATCTTTTTTATCAGTCTTTTGTTCTACTTTATTACACGTCCCCAAAATAAACTTTGGACCTCTGTAATGAGTTTTTTTATCAGTTAACTGTTGAATTAGGTAATGGAGCGAGAGGTCTAGTTAAAAATGATTTTATGGATATTTTTGAGAAGTCGAAATTGTAAAACTAGTGACAGAATTGGATGGAACATAATCAACTTGGACGCGTAAGATGGAATAGAAAGATTATTTCCTGGGTTACACTTGAACAGCCTGAGCAATACTTTATTTCAGGTATTTCAACATTTGTGCAGAAGAGGCTTCTTATATAAATGAAAGTGTGCACAGTACGGAATGTTGGTATAGGATGAACACTGCGGTTGAATTAAGTAATCCAACGCTCGACAAAGTTCAGGTGAAAGGAATATTTTAAGAAATCAAGAAGTTCAAGTAATTTTTTATAATTGCTAATACTTTTAGTCAAAGGTTTTACCCTCAGTCTTTTACAGACAGCTCTCCCTATTCATACTGCATTGCAGTCATAATGGATGGACTTTAGTTTTCTTGAGGATATTACTTGTCAAGTAATATCCTTGTTTTGGAATTTTGTTGTATATCATGCAGAAGCTCGGTCTACCTGACAGCTTCTTCTTTAAAGGGAAAAAAATCAATAGAGATGAAATGTTTGCAGGGATGGTACATGGATGAACGTCAGCGTGCAATAAAAGTTGCGTTAACGATGATGTTTGAACAGCATTCCCCACTCATGAGGGCACTGTTAGATACGGGAGATGCGCTGCTGGTTTACTGCTCAAGATATTCATCACTTGAAGCTGAACTCACTGTTGGTATGAGAGAACGAGATTTGCGCGCATGGCTAGCACAAATTGATATTGATACTAGACAGGTTATTTTCCATACTACATCGAAAGTATCTTTTTTTTATTATTGTTCGGGCTTTTAGATGAAATAAAGGAAGGAAGATATTAAAATGTGAACATCCGATTTACAAATTAGCGATAACTGTATAAGACATGATTAAGGTAATACAAGAGATTTGCGAAACTTGTAGATTATAAAAATTGCTTGTATCCCAATGATTTGGAAATGATAGTGCATGGCTACATGCTTATTTTTGATCGGTCGCTCTTGTTCAAATGAGAATATTATGGAAATATCAGTACGTTATGTTTTTGGAATATGACTTTCTTTTAATGCACTTATGTTGCAGCTTTTTGATTCAACAGTCCGTCCGTTGGCATTTCGACCGCCATATCTTGGTGGGAATCGATTAGGATTGATCTTGATGGAAATAAGGCGAGAATTCATGTTACGAGGAGTTTTTCCACAGCAACTTCCAGAATTACAGATTGGTGTTGAAGCGGTTCGTTTTTGTAACGTATAGAGTTTATAAAATCATGCATATGTTGGTAATTTCAATTACCTTGTAATTCTTGTAGGTTCTTGGTTCTGAATCACCGGCTGAAAATTACGTATCAATTTATCCATTTGATGTACTGGACCCCGATAATTTTTCGGCTCTTTGGACAAGTAAGCGTTTTTTCCTCTGTGACTTGCTGATGAACTTTGTAATTTTTCTGTGGAGTGTTAACTATTCTCCTCCAAGTCACTTTTTTTTTATTTTTCATAATTAAGGTCAAGTTGAACTGCTGCTCTGATTTAAATCCCATCGTTCCAGTGAATTTCTTTTGTTCTAGGATTTAACAAGGTTTTGTCTATTACGGAGGTCGATCATTTGATTATTCGATAGAGTAACAATAACCGTTGCTAGAAAAGTAACTTTTTAGGCCAAGTAAGTATCATTATAGATCCATTTTTGTTACTTGCAAAGCAGAACAAGGACAGCGAACTTTGGACACAAGCAAATTCGATTAAACTGGCACCAAAATTGATATCCATTAATGAAACGACACTTTCTGCTATAGTTGATGGTATGCGCTTTTAATTTTCATCGGTTACAAAGAGTGAAGTATGTGAGAAGCCGTAAAATGTTGTCATTTTTTGAAAAAAAAACCGTAATTAAAAAGTAACGGGACGAAAATAAAAAAAATAACGAAATGTGGTGCTGCTTTTTATCTGCACTGTTTTTAAGGAATTCACAAGTCTATATTCTCCGACTTTATTTTCTGAAACATCCCGTAATTTAATTTATTTTTTAGAGTTGGATATTATGGAAAAAGTTACAGAAGAGGATCTGGAAAACTACTGCGTTGAAGATCTACGTGCTGTTTTTGTCCGCTTAGCACTTCGAATGCGAAATCGTTTAGCTGAAACTGAGACGCAGCAAAGCGAAATGAATCTTCTAGCAAGAGAAATTACTGCTATGCAAAATATGAGGCGGTAAATGACTTGTTCGGAGGGGGATTAAGAATGAAAGCTTCTTTTCCGTTAATAAGTTGTTGCTAAGAATATCGTCTGATGTAGTCAAAATTTTTGTTTAAATTTCAGAGCACTGGAAGAAAGGAAAGCACAATTAGAAGGAGGTCCTACTCAGGAACGGAGAGAAAAACGAGAACTCCCTGCGCCTCTAGCTCGGACGGAACTACCTGTACCTTTAATGCGTGGTTATTCCCCACCCCGGAAATGGGATGAGAAACGTAAGCCAATACAACGACGATACTCACCTCCTGAGGAAAAGATCCCACGACGTCGTAGCCCAACTCGGCTAAAGTCGCCCACTCCGCATGTATCTCGGAAATCATCACCTTTTTCAAAATCACCATCGAAACAACAAAAAGTGACGAAACCTCCCGTTGATGAAAGCGAATTGTCCGACGGGGAAATCTTGAGCGATTAATTTCATCCTTCTACATCATGAGAAAGTATTTAGTATCTTGCGCCGACCTAATAGGAATAAAGTACCCAACTATCCATCCCCTCATCAAGTTTGTTATTGCACTGTTCGAATTAAGGTAGGCACGAAGACCACAGCAATACAACATAACAAAATGTTATAGCCTGAATAAGGACCACACCAATATAAGATAACGAAATATTATAGTTTAAAAAATATACTTGGAAATATCTAGTTATATTCCTCACTGTTCCAGGATAACTCATGAAATATCATTGGAGTGAGTTATTTGCGAAGTCAAAATTTAGTTATAGCCGTCTATGATTTTCCGATCTCCTGTGAACATTCAGTGTTATGTATATACTGTTGTTGTTGTTGTTGTTTAATATTCCAATTCTGAATTTTATGAAAGGTAGGAATCAAATTGGAAAATATTTAAATGAAGAATTTCGAAGCATGTGGAAACCGTCTGTTATCTCAAAATCTTCCTAGCTGCATCAAGATTTAGCAGCAAAGTTAGAAGATCCAAAATTACACAAAGCATTGAAACTGCGTTTTTTCCCCTATTTTTTTTTTAGAGAATTCCACAATTTTGCAATTGCCAATCAGACTTTGTTGACAGCAGAATTTTATTCCGTTATCAAAAAACACTGGAGCTACTGATAACCATCTCACGTAGAAATGGTTCTGATGCGATTTTCCTATCTAACGAGCACTGATATAGGCCCTCAGTGATTTGATCAAAGTAGCAGTATAAAGAAAGTGTGGAAAAGTATCCTAGTCAGCTGCATTAAATATGAAAAATCAGATGCCTTTATTCCTCCATCCAGTAAGATCAACATCAGAGTCATCATCGCTTATTTGTCCCACCAATGCCGGTTCGGTATTTCTTTCATTTTTCACAGCTACTGTGTTGTACAGTTTGTCTCGCCGCACTTCTAACCGATTTACTCGTTTCCATTGCTCAATCTGCAAATAAGTTCAGCATACTTTCCTAGCCATATCTGGGATTCTAACTATTCTGAGATGTATGGTAGAAGCAAAATTTTAGAATCATAAATCATCAGGACAGAAATTTACCTGCTCATCAATAAGTTCAATATCATGCTCGATAGCTACCACGTGTTCTTCATTTTCTTCGCGGTGCTCTTCCTCCTGCTTTGCTTCATCCAACTCTCTCATGAAATCGATGTATTGTTGTTCTATGCTTGCTTGTTTCTCTATGGTGTCAATAACCTGAAATATATCACAACTTATAGTAGTTTTACAAGTGCGGAAATGTAGCGTTACAGCACAATTTGAAATACTAAAATGCTTAATTAGGTGCTCCAAAAATCAGGTTATTCACGCATCAGTATGCGTTTAATTGAAGTATAAATTCTAGTTGAATTATGTCCTACTCAGGAATCGTATAGTCTTAAGCATGTAGAAGACGATATATTCGTTTTTCCATATTCATTTCTTAGCCTCAACCAAATAAAAACGACAGTTTATTTGCGATATTAGCTTACTCTGCTGTTCAGTTTTTCGTCTTCGAAAAAACCTTCAGGCACTCCTTTGATAACATTTGTTTTTTGACCATATGTTGTATTGTTTTCTATCATTTTTGTCATCGAATATTTCTCCCAAGGAGTGCTTTCGTTAATATTTTTTAAATTCGACTCATTTACGTCTACTGCAAAAAAAAAAAAAACATTACTTTCAGCTTTTTCAAAAGTCCAAACCTTAGTGAAGGTAAAGCAAGCAGAAGAACAAGTTGACCTTTCAGTTTTTTCAAGGGTGCCATCGACAGAGATGTGGTCGATTCTTCGGAGTTTCGTTTTGATGAAGTCGCATTGGCTATTGCTGCTTTCTTGAAATTGGCAACGTTTTCTCGATGTTTCCGACCATTTGAATGAGCTATCCATAGCTTACTCTTCACCTTCAAATTTTGAATCCTTTCTCAAAAGATGCCGAAATTCACATCGTGTTACAGAAGGGATTGTTAACAGCTGATGAAGCAAGACAAGACTAACCTGTGTGTTACAAATGATACAGAGAAGTAAGCCATTCTCCAGAGCTCTCGCAATCGCTGAGTGAGACTGTCCTTTCATTGAGTACGATGCTGTATACATCCCCTACCTGTAACACACATCACGCTAACTCGCAGAACGATCCGCCCTAAACGTCGTTCACCGACCAACCGCTATTTACAAGTGTTTCACCTCACTTAAAGGACGAGCGTAGCGGGATGCGCCTCGCACTTTCTTGGCCAGTTTGTCGGGTAATCGGTGGTGGCGTCTTCTTGACTTCTTGACAGTTTTCTTGACTAAATGAAAGACGAGGATAAGAGTATCGTTTTGGTTTGTGTTTGTGTTCTGTCTATATCATATGGAACGAATTTTAACAGGAAATTATCTCCTAAGCAATGTCAGCAGGATCATCCAGAATACTGGCCAAAAAGGTACCTCAGCGTGTTGTCGATGTAGCGGAAGAAGTACAGGACTGGGAGAATCATATTATTCTTAGATTTCCTGATGATGTCGCTGCAAAAGTCAGTGAGTTCTGCTATTTTCTTGTCTAATGATATTTTATTTTTTTGAAAACGAAGAGAAGCACTCAATTTCTGCAGGGAAAATGATTGACGAATCTGGCGACAATGACCTTGCCATTGGGTTCCATCCAGATATGCGAAATGCAACCGTACAATTTCAGCAGCAAATCATGTCTGCAAGGTTGTTTGATCTACCTTGCGTTGTTGAGGTTAGTTACTTAGGTAACTTATTCTGAGATGTAAGATTAACTATTGCGTATCCCTTAGAAGGGTGGAAAATTAAAACACAGTGAAACTTTACTCGTTTTGCAATGAATGAAAATGATGTAGAAGTAAATGCATGCGTGCTTCTATCGATGATATGTGCATGAAACAACATCCTTAACAACCACTTGGATTTTCGTTTATAATTTGTGTACCGAAAACCTCCTGAGATTTGTCTCGTAGCTTGTTGAAATTAAATTAGCTGTCAAATTTTAGGTAATGAAAACGATTGACAAAAAGAATGTTTATAAAGTTGCGGATGCATCTCAGATTATGATCTGTTCGCATGACTTACAACCTATCACAGAAATATCACTTCAAAACGATACATCAAAATTGAAACGTGACAAAATGTGGCAGTGGCCTCATGGACGTGAGCTTTTTTTCCCACGCTTTCTTTTCACTTTCGAAACAATATGCTGAAATAGATTACAAATTCTTTAAGGATAATTATTCATTTTGTTTCAGTCACTCCGCCAATGAAAAGTGTCAGGAAGCGACGTTTCCGTAAAACGAAAAAGAAAAAATATATGGACGCACCTGAGGTTGAGCGTGAGCTCAAACGTCTCTTAAGAGCTGATATCGAAGCTAGTTCTAGTAGATGGGAAGTAGGTATAACCACGCATTTTCGCCTATTGTTAGAGAGAAATTGGATTTTCAGGTTTATAGATTTCATCTCTTCACATATTTAGATCGTTACTCCTGAAGAAGATGCTAAAAAAGTGGACACTCCTTCAGTTCTTGTAGAAACACTTGTTCTTGGAGAAATCAGCAATTCGGACGATGAAGCATCGCTAAAGGAGGTTGCACCTCTTGCTGTTGGAGCATATTTGTAGAGATAGTTGCTGAATTTCGAGAATTCGAGTGACATCGGTGTACGTAAATAATATTTGTTCATCCTAGGCGCATTTAAACCATTACCACACGATTATAGCATTATAGATTATTGCGTGGTGCTGAAAATATTACATTTTGAATGAACGTGCTACTTACTGTCTTTCAACGCTTACGATTATATTCTCGTTCATTAAAAGTATTAGATAGTTCATCGCATTTAATGTGCCTTGCATACGATGTGATTATTTGTTCAAAAGTTGCTAACACCGTCTTCGGTTGCAGATCAAGCAGCGACTCGAACTTTATTTTGATTCCATTTCACGAACTGATGAATTTATATAGCTGTTTTCATCTATATATTCTAGCTTAAATGCCTTTATAGCTGTATATGGAGGTTTTTAAAAAATGATATAATAAAGTTCTGAAATTATTTTGCGGAAATAGCTGTGCAAAGAATAGCGTTGATCTTTCGTCCATTGCATTAATTTGTTTTTAAATGTTATGTAACGTGAGATATATGTTCTCGTTTTCGCACTGATGAAAAAGTATATACTAGTGTTTCCTTTTTATGCTTGGTTTGTTAATCAACAGTTGATAGGGTCTGGGATTGTATTGGAAATTAATTTCTCTTCTGGTGGTTGTTCTTTTTTTCACTGTGAGAATCTGTTATAGTTTTCGGAAAATATTCTCTGAGTTTGTTCGGATTGTATCATTTATCAAATTTTCTTGTTATTTGAAATAAAAAAAAAAGTAAAAGTTCGAAGTCAAAAGTATGGTCTTTTTCCGTTTTTTTTTTGATTTATAAGGAAATCTGTGTATTATTGAAAGATAGTAGAAAGTATATTTTATGGGAGAGTAAGAATAAAATGATTCGCTTCATCATGTGGAGATGCCGAAAGCAGCAGGAATTTGGAAATTGGGGCGGTGTGACTGGTGTATGAAAGACCAAGTATAAATTCGAACTGATGATTTTTACGATGTCACTTGGCTTCTTATTTTTTCGTAGTGGGGGGAAAAATTTCCCCAAAAAGTATTTTATATAATTTTTCTCGAGATTACTGGGTGTCCCAGTATTTCCATTCTCGCCCAGCGTTGCTTGCAAAAACTGGGGGATGTTAAATCATGAGGAGGTGGTAGCGAAACTAGTGGGTTGCTTATCTGCTTTGTTTTATTAATTCCATTTCTTCACATATCACATTACTTTTAAAATCTTATCAAGTCATATTCGACTCTTCATTTTTTGGTGAGAACAAAAAACCCAAGAAATTTTGTTTATAATTTCCCTCATTATTCTTGTCTTTTCTATTTGACCTGCATTCTTTTCCTAGTAATCTTACTCTTCTGTTAGCCTGATTTAATCGTCGTTTATCAGCATATAAACTGAACAATAGCTGCATTAGTGAAATCTCAGGCATTGTATTGCCCTACTTTGAATATAAAGATACTTCCTGGGCACTAACTTATATGTTTTACCCTTTTATTGGTTACGTATTTCTGAATGTCACTTTATTTATAACAAAGGCAAAAATAGTTGTAATTCTATCACTATAATGTTTGTTATATGAAGATTATATTTGGTCATCAAATATTATTTACCATAGCGATAACTTTCATGACGAATTCATGATTTATTTTTCTGCAAAACAATGTACCTCATATGAAATTTAACCATTTTGTCGTGTAGCTTGAATAATTGCTAGAACACTATGTCGTATGCATTAGCCTTGAACAAGTGAACGAGTGAATAAGTGAACAAGTGAGCCTTGAACGAGTCGAGCATTTTCGATAACATTTGAAACTTGAAAAGGATTATTGGTTGAAAGGAGTTGGAATATGACTCCAAATTTCAAATTTGAAATTGTCTGACTGGACACTGCTGTCATATCAACTTTTCTTAGTATACTCTGTATTATTTATTCATTGGTGATTTATTGTGGAACGATTTTTCGCTTACTATGAGTTTCACGGACTTACTAATTGTTTCAGACTGGAAGGTTTCCCCTGGAAGCTTTAACTGTTTTGGATTATATAAAGCCAAGAAATGAATGAGTACTTATGGTGTCTTGCAGAAATGAAATGGAACTTGGAATTATGAATTTCGAATTCACGCACATAAATATCCATTGTTTGGAGTTTTTCTAAAAGGAAATTGGTAATGGTAATGTAGAGTTATTTAAAGGTAGAACAAACAGATGGGTTAATTGGGAGAGAAGATTTGTAATTGGTTTTATTTATAGTAGACTTCATGCTCATTCATAATTTCACTCATGTGTGATTCTATCGCATATATATTTTCCAAATAACATTTGAGGTATCTACCACTTTCACATTGTCTTTTTATTCGCTCTTTAAATATTCTTTATTGTGCTCATTACTTACTATGTTTTAAATGAAAAAAAAACATCCCATTTAAAACAGCATGTATTTAATGTGTTATTCGACATCTCACCAAGAAAGTTAATTCTGTTTTTAAATAATATTGAAAGGTGGAAATACTTTTTGTCTAGGCCAGAATAAGAAATGAAGTAAACGAACAAACAGCATTTTGAGGATGGTAAGCAATTGCATTATTTGGTTGAGATCCGAGTTTTTAAAAAGCTAAATTAATGGTGCTTTTTTCTCCTTATCCTCAGCTTTTGATCATACCGACATCGGTCATCCTTTTGTTGACTGGTGTGTTTTTATATATTTTTCTTGAAATTATTTTTTATATATTTTTCTTGAAATTATTTTAAAGAAGCGTATTTTTTGGAGGAGAAAGGTGTAAAATTTTTCGAAATGTTATTGCTAGCCAGTGGCCTTAAGCCTCGGTTCCATATTTCAAAACTTTCCGGACAATGATGCGCTGTGCAGATCAACAGTGACAAGAGTCTTTTCCATGCGTGTTTCTTTTTTGGGTCATTCATTCTGTTGTATTTGTAAATTAGGCATTACATCATTTTGTGTTCAAACACTCGTTTTATTTGTCATTCAGACTTCAATTTCACTGGAGGCTTGCGGATAAGTGGTTTTGGTTGGATCGATGTTCGGTCAAATGCTGGGATGAAGAAGAGCTTTTGTGGTGATGATGGTGTGAACCCGTTTACTGAAGAACATGGGTCTTTTTGAATAATTTTTCTTAGAGGATGGGGAGATGATTTAATTTAAAGTGATGTAACGCAGGCTATGAGGAGTTTTATGAAGTTATTTCTAGTAGTAAAAAGAAGCGAAGAAGCTGTGCCTGCTTTTTTTAAAGCCTCTATGCTTTATTCAATTGGGAAGAATTTCAAAACATCTTTTGAGAAGGAAATGGAAGCGATGAACACAAGCAAATACCATCGATACCTGGAAATTACATCACACCACTGATCGCTATCATGCATTCCATATTTCGGAACTATCTGCAGTTTGATCATCATCAACAGTTGACGAAGTTGTTTGCTTCATTATTATTCTTGTCCTCCTTCATGGTTTGTCTTTTCTCCTATTCATCTCGTTTTTTATTCTTCATGCTTCTGCTTTTGTTCCACCGTCATAATGGTTCTGTCTCGGTCTCTCTGTGTGAATGCACACTCTGTTCCTCTGTATATCTTTTTCTTCCACTGCCTGGCAAAAAGTTAAGCTTTGAATTCCATCAAATATCCATTATGACAAACGATTTTTTCATCAGTTTTAAAGCTATGATTATCAAGCTTTTTCACACCAGCATAAATTAGGGATGGGAGCAGTTAAACAGCGCGAGGCGCTGCAGGGCATATTTATATGTCCATGAAGTTTTGTCTTTCCTGAACTATTAATACCTGATTGAGATTATCATGCTTGTTGATATTCTATAATGTAGGTATTCTTGAATGCAGGCAGTGAGACCTTCATAGAAGCTTCGAAAGTGCAATTAGTTGTGTTGTTCGCCGAAAACATCAATAGATCAAATTTCATTCTTTTTGTATTTTTTGTCTAGTTGATTTCAAATTTCATTCAGTTTTTTTAAGGTGAAAAATTGGTATCATTTGTGATGCAAAGTGTATTTCAAATCCTTGAAACTACCTTCCATGATTTAAGCATGGGTATGGTACCAACTTAGAAATCATTTCTGGAAAGGTTAAGTAGTTTTTTAATCATAAAATCATACTTTAAATTAGTAACATTGCTGCTATTCATGATTCCTTAAGAAATTTGACTGAGGGACTAAATGTGTTATTACAACCGGTTACCTTACTTTATCTCTTCCTGTCATCCAAAGTTATGTATTTGCGGCCATTCCTGGCTGGAAGCCTAGCTTATTTCTATCGATGGGATCAGTCATTCTAAGACTTCGCTCGCTCTCGTAATAATAATAATAATAGTTAATGGTAAATTTATAATGATGTCTCTCTGCAGGCATATCTGGTAATCATCACATCGAATTAATTTGTGCCGCATTATTCATAACAACCACTGTGACGATAACAACAAAACTACTAATTCCTTGACATTTCTGGGCACGTATATGTCATTACAGCTATGATTTACACCCAATGTTGAAGTAGACCATTTTCTTCCATTTCTGATTCTGTTGTTGAGACATTCCTTAAAGAATTGAAAAAATTACGGCTCTTGGCTTTGTATATTTGCAGCTACTGAAGAAGTGCTTGGATTAATCAGTGGAATAAATAGAAATTGTTGATTAAATTACTAGTGCTTCTTTTAGATAGTATGAAATCTCAGAAAATGAGCATTGGCTAACTAGTCTGCATTTATTTAGGAATGAGATTGACAACGAAGTAATTATTATCTAATGTTTGGTAATTAAAATGAATGAACTTGAGATGCTTGTTGACACTGTAAATTGGTGTGGTCGGGGACAAAATTTCTAATCAGTTAAATTCCTAATTGCTAATCAGTTAAGGTTATTTCTCGCTTTTCAATTCTCCCTTCCTTATCCGATCATTCACCGCTGAAACAAAGGCAGTATTAAACGAAAAAACGAAATGAAGTAAACCAGCATTAAACGAAAAAATGAAATGAAGTAAACCTGTCCTGTGTTTTCCAAAGTAAATTGAGAGATAAATAGATATATAAATGAGTTGTTTGCTTAGTTAATTATTTTAAACTCTTTTTCAGTTTTCAAAAATTTTGTCCAAGTATTTTTCAGTTCCACAAGCTCCTTGTCATTATTTCATATCGTTTTCATCTTCTCCATTGTTTACATGGAAAATTGTACTCTAAGAAGCTTTTGTTTTTATATTTATATTATTTTCTAATTATTTGATTTTTCCTTCAGCTCTCATGAATTTCAATTTTAGAATACTTTTCCTTTCAAGTTTACGTAGCGAACCCTTGTTTTAGGGAAACAGCATTAGTAGTACGTTTGGAAAAGGATGGATGGGATGAGAGTAAGATAAGGTCAGTTTTCTGTGTGTATTATATTTGAAAGGAGAAAAAGGGAAATGAGAAGTTCGAAGCTGGAAGAAGGTTTTCCACCTTTTTCTTCAGTGGGTCGGATTGGCTGGTTGAAGTAATTGCACGTAATCACTATCAGGTGAGTGGTGGCCCGTGAGTTTCCTATACGGGAAATTCAAATAGGAGCAGGTCTTGCTAATTTGCCATCTAGAATGCCGGCAGAATTAATAACAAGTTCTGGTCTTAATAAGCCTAATTTTACCAGAACTCTTATTTCCATGTATCAAATGTTCTATGATGATGTGAGCAGGAAATAGAGCTGCACGACCAGAATTGACCATATTCGAGTATTGATAATTTGTTTGCAGTAGATAGTAATGGAGGTAATTGAGAAAGAGGCATTGAGAGGAAGGAGTAATAGTGGGGATAATTATTACCAAATTTTCTAAAAACACCCAGTTAATTGTGTGATTCGGTATCATATGTTATTTTGATTGTGATTTAGAACTGTGGCAAGTTAATGCTCTTCGAGACTTATGGAGATGGCTTATTCATTTAGCTGATTATAAAACAAACTGCTCAGTTATTATGCTTTCTACAAATCGGTTGGGAGAGATGTTCTGGAATGAAAAACAGAGAGAGAGTGATTTGAATGGCAATTCTTCACTCATTTATGGGATAAAAAGAAGCAATCTTTTCATTTATAGTTGGATGGCTGTGTGTATAGGTATCAGTAACGTCCTTCGGACCAATTAATACCTCATTTTAATGATGATGATAATGATAAGTTTAACTGTAAGATGATGCATCAGTTGATATAAGTGAGTGTTTATGCTGTGCTTTTTTTAAGCTAAGACTTAAGAAATTTTCTCAAATTTATCTTTTTTTCTAATTTCTTGACGAAACATATTAATTAATGAGGAATGTGCATATTTATTACTGACTCAGAATTGAAGTTAACAAGTAAAAATAGCTGAGTCGAATGTGGATTTAATCTTGCATCATTTTAAATATTAATTTGAAAGCATGGATGATGTGTAAGTATTCCTTTTTTAGGCCTCTCATGGAGGCGTGATTTGCGATATAAACTGTCGGCGATGTTAATGAGAGGACGGACTCGGACGATACTTTTGATTATTATACTTATGGGTTGTGTCCTATACATGTTCATTTCCGCCTTCGATGTGGTTAGAGGTAACACAGTCATATTACCTGGACAAAAAATGGGTAATTTATCGAAATACTCACCGCTCATTTTCATTGGTTAGTTTTCTTACTGGCTTATTGCCACAATATATATATATATATATATATATATATTTTAACCTCTCAACAGTTAAGCGGTGCAAATTGTTTTCAATATGTTTTCATGACTTTGTTAGTTTTTTTGAATGACTTTCATGTATCTTTTTCTCCATATTTTTAAGTTGGAACCATTCTTCCCTTTATTTTATTGTTCTATTAGTGATATTCTTTGCTAGCTACAGAATTTAGCGATCAGGATCCTCAGTGCTGCTTAACGATTCCACCAAATATTTCAGTGTCCATATTCCTAATCGTTCTTATGGGAATCTTTCAAGTTCTGTACATAACTTAGTAAGATCGAAGTGTAATTTACGTATGTGTATGGAACACTCCAGCAGCTCTTGTTATTAATGCAATATAATTACACTGGACTGGTTGTTAACTGCCATTAATGAACTTCATTTTAGTTGCCAGTTTTGATCTAGAAAATATATCTCTGCTTTTAACATATACATTTTTAGGAGGTGTTCCACGATCAGGGACAACACTGATTCGTGCTATGTTGGATGCACATCCTTCTGTGCGATGGTTGGTCATTGCATGCATTCCCTTGGTCATGAACATCACAGTTGATTGTGTCTAAATTTGTTAATATTCTTTTTTCATTTAGTAAAACAACAGATGATGCTATTTATTTAGGTTTTTATCTTAAATTACAGTGGTGAGGAAACACGTGTAATACCACGCATTCTGGGACTTAGGACACAATGGAAAAAGAACCAAAAAGAATGGAATCGGTTAAAAGAAGCAGGTGTCACCGATGAAGTAATCAATGATGCTATCTCATCATTTATATTACAAGTAAGTCGCTGTTACAATTTTAAGTGTTTTTGCTGTTGCAACTTCGAATAAATTTGTGATTTCTCAGGTAATAGCAGGTCATGGTGAACCCGCTGAAAGACTCTGCAATAAGGACCCTTTTACGATGAAATCAGCAGAATATCTTGCTCATCTATTCCCAAACAGCAAATTTTTGCTGATGGTTAGGGATGGCCGGGCGACGGTTCATTCAATCATATCGCGTCAGGTGACCATTACGGGTTTTGATCTTAACGATCCGAGACAGTGTCTGGAAAAATGGAATCATGCCATCAAGACAATGTACGAGGTACTGCTTTCACACAATCTCTTTTTTGTCGAGTTGTTGGTGAAGTAATCTAGATTAGAAATGCATTAGTTTTGTACTCGTTCATAACGTTTTTCTAAAATCCATGAAGTGATTGGTGATCAGTTAAAATCTCTTATATAGTTTGATTAGGTTAGAAATTAACTCCTCAATATTTCTGCTGTATCGATTATGCAATTTCAAAACTCATGAAGACTCATATTTTCCACTTTTATTATAAATTCGTTTTGCAGCAATGTAAAACAATAGGACAAAAGCGATGTTTGACCGTTTATTATGAACAGTTGGTATTGCATCCAGAGCAGCAGTTGCGTCATGTTCTTAATTTCCTCGGCATTCCATGGAGTGATTTAGTGCTTCATCACGACAAACTGATCGGCAAAGATATTTCGCTGTCAAAGTATGTTTCTTTTTTTTTATCGCATTTTACTTGCCCCAGAGAAATCCTTATTGTTTGTATTGAATTGATAGGTATGACTGGTTACTATGTAATTTAAAGCATAACAAAGCAGTTTGCTGTTTCATGGGAACCCTTCGAAAATTGTTTGATGTTTGATGATGGTCTTCGGAATCGTTCTGTCATTCTGTGCAGCTCATCTTTTGGTTGTAGACGATTACTTATCTGTTTTTTCATCATATTTCTTGCTTGTTCTCAAAAAACAGTAATTAAATGGTTCCATTTGATTTCCCTCTTACTATATCTCGAATTGCTTAGGCATTTAGTGATGCTGTTATTGGTAGCAATATTTTGTGAAAAATCATGAAAAGACGATTAACACTGAACTGAACTTATCTATTTTAAGAAATAAAGTAGACATTCAAGAGTAAGTTTGGACACTGAATATTCATATGAAAAAGATTGTATTTTGTACAACTGAATTGTATTTTTTTTTTTATAGTTTTAAATGTGTTGAAAAGCGAGACATTATTTTTAGGGTTGAAAGATCCACAGATCAAGTAATCAAACCGGTAAACTTGGATGCATTAGCTAAATGGGTGGGTACGTTCGGTGAGGACATTGTGCAGGAAATGCCATCTATAGCACCAATGTTGGCCGAACTCGGGTTTGTGATACTGAAATTTTTTTTTTTTTTGGGAAACAGTTCATATTTGAATGTTCTTAATGACTTATATAGGTTTATGAAGTAATGTGTAAGTGGAGCAAAAGTTTTTCGTTGTTTTTTTTTTTACCAGGTTCGTGCTCATTTTTCTTGCTGCATTAAGAAGCTTCTTTCACGTGTTTTTGCGCTTAGATATGCTTGAGAAGTATCGGAAAGTTTGTATCCAATATTGAATAAAGAGAAGACAGTCAGCGAAACCAGAAGGATTCGCATGAAGAAATCTTTTCAGATATGATCCAAATGCTAATCCGCCCAAATATGGTGAGCCTGATCCGATTGTACTGAAAAATACTGATGAATTACACATGAACATGGGAGAATGGGAGCGTAGAGCGAAAGCGATAGTTGATCCAGCAGCACCTGCTGCATTGCATTCTCCACTTGCTCGGTGAAGATTTCGTTGCACACATGCAAGCACACAGTACATTTACTTTATCTACAGTTACAGATTACGTTACTCATACATAAGTATTAACACTTTTCTCATCCTTTCTGCTCACTTTTCCGTGCGTCATGAAGCAGTATTTACTTTAACATGAACAAGTTTCCATATCGTTACCTTTCCTTTGTGTTTTCCTCCCTGTTCGTCAGTCAACCATTATTCTTTCATTTGTTCCAGTATAAGCATTTTCTGTTTGGATGAAATTTCCATTGTTATCTCTTTTGGAATTAATTCCTTGTAAATTCGTTGAACGTTGAACGTTGAACGCTTTCGAGTTTAAAGTTATGTTCGGACTCTGCATAACTGCAGGAAATTGTGAATGTTTCCGGGAAAACGTGAGCAGTCTTAGTGATGGATCATGTTTTTTTTATTGATAATAATTAAATATTTATTGACATGGCATTCCTTATTATTCAATTACTTTTATTGTGAGAGATTCACTCCCTTCTCACTTGATAGACGAGACATGCCGAATAGTCATATTGGCTGAATGGTGAAATAGTTTAGCTCTGATAGACGATCAGTTTTATGATCTGATAAGTGTTATTCCATTGCACTTATTGCTATGATGGATAGTAACAGAAATGGGATGCTTTTGTCAGTGAAAAGTGCTTTGATTAATTTAATGAATTCAACATTGCTCAAGCATATGTTTCGTTCTTTAGGCTCTCTCTACTTTATCGTGAATGAATGCCGTAGCAAACTTATTGTCCTTCTTCAGTTTTATCTTAAACCCTTATATCATTGAGCTCAAACACACCTGATTAAGTACAGAAGTATTTTTAAGGTTCTCTCACTTTCCAGTCTTGTTTGAACTTGGACTTTTTTATTCGGTTAACGAGTTATGAAAGATTTTATTGGCTTCTGTTTGTGTATAAAGCCTAACAGTTCATTTTATGCTCTCATTCTTTAGACGGGTCGTAAAATACTTTGTTTTTAATTTAATTCCACTGATCCCATATAACCACGAAAATAATGCACTCTGCATAGTCATCATTTCCTTCAGAATACAGCAGTTTGAGTAATTGAGTTAGCTTCTAAAGCATCACTGCAGAACTATTTTTTCGCAAATCAATACCAGTAGATAGTCGTGGACATGGTCTTGTATTTCATTCTCATTCGGTTTGTATGATATAATCAACAACTATAGTAAAACCTAGAAATTGTGTTCTGCCACGTTAAATACATTGGACTACACCATACATCATCGCGCAGGTACGACTATGGCTTGCCAGGTACTGTTCCGAAATTTTAAAGTTAACTGCATATTGACAAATGAAGATCGCACGGTCAAAACTGAGCAAAGGTGAGTGAACTGAATGATTGGTAGTCAGCGTTGTTAGTTTCAGCCGAGAAAGGGGAGCACAACCATCTCGAGTTGTTATTGTGCTTTGAAAGATCTTGCAAGTATAGTAGTGCAGTCGCCAAGGGAAGAAAAAACTGCTTCCAAAATGATTAATTTATAGACACAGATATTATAATCAAACAATTAACTACTTGGTGCATGGCCTGACTGTTTCAACAACAAATAGAACTGTATATATGCATGTCAAAAGTCATATCAAGT